AAATTGATGGTCAGATAAGGCCTAAAAGACTGGAAAAAGAATGTACAGCAAAATTTAATACAAGGCTGGTATGTGGGAAGTAAAATGGCTATCGATCCATGCAAATGCTTTTTGTTGGTAAAGTTGTGAGTGAAAAATGGGCTATTAAAAAATGGAGGCGAGTGAAAAATGATTTTCATTTGGATGTCGTTTCACACCTAAATCAACAAAGTTTGGGGCACTGGTACGGGGTACCCCTCGCCGGCATCAGTTGACGTCACTCAGGACCTGCCTATGGTTGGTTGGTGGGTGAGTTACTGTACCTTCTATGGGTGACATTGAGCCAGCTCGGCGTTTGGAGGCAGTAAGCACCTCCTAAACGTGTCGAGCTAGGAAGCAGCGGCAACCTTTATACCCATATTGGCCTGTTTACAGCGTAGGGGCTGTCTGTATGATGGTCATTTGGTCCCTGATCAATCCGGATCTTCGCGGAAAGGCAAGCTTGTTGCCCGTGGCGGGTGATGCGGATACTATCAGATTTCAAAAGCGGGTATTTTTGGTATTCAGGTCGGGTAATTGCCCTAGACATTCGGAGAATCTTGGGATGCCCAATTCTGCAAGTCCTGGGTGAAGCTCGCTAGTCTACCCGGGGGGTGTCCCCTTCTACAACGACCCCGGGGCAGCTCACTAGTCTGCCCGAGGGGTGTCCCCTTCTACAACGACCCCGGGGCAGCTCACTAGTCTGCCCGGGGGTGTCCCCTTCTACAACGACCCCGGGGCAGCTCGCTAGTCTGCCCGGGGGGTGTCTCCTTCTACAACGACCCCGGGGCAGCTCGCTAGTCTGCCCGGGGGGTGTCCCCTTCTACAACGACCCCGGGGCAGCTCGCTAGTCTGCCCGGGGGTATCCCCTTCTACAACGACCCCGAGGCAGCTCGCTAGTCTGCCCGGGGGTGTCCTCTCCTGCAACGGTCTCGGGGCAGCTCGCTAGTCTGCCCGGGGGTGTCCCTTTCTACAACGACCCCGGGGCAGCTCGCTAGTCTGCCCCAGGGTGTCCCCTTCTACAACGACCCCGGGGCAGCTCGCTAGTCTGTCCGGGGGGTGTCCCCTTTTACAACGGCCTCTGGGCAGCCCGCTAGTCTGCCCGGGGGTGTCCCTTCTACACGGCCTCTGGGCAGCTCGCTAGTCTGCCCGCCGGCGTCCCCTCCTACAACAGCCTGATTCCCGGAGCGGGCTGAGAGCCCTCCCCTTTTTTGCTGGGCGGCTGTCAACGACCTTCGTTGATGCTGTTCTAACCCCTTCCAAAGTTATGGGAAAATTAATGGTCGCGCTGAAAGGCATGTGCATAGGGTTCAAGGTAAAGGAGAATACAGCTTCTGTTGTCAGATGCCTCAGAACTCATGGATGGTTGTTTTTTCGGCGGGTATATCGAGGGCCTTTACTTGGTGGAGGCTATCATCGCAGTAGTGGCTAATGCTACTGGTTGTTAGTCCTGTGAGGGCTTCGGTATAAATGCCGTAATATTGCTCTTCATTGGTGACCGCTGTATCGCTCACATTCATGTTGGCAGGTTTAAGGGATCGTGGCGTTTCTGGTAAGCTTCGGGCCAGGTTGAGGAGCTAATTACCTTCCTTCAACCAAGCACGTATTTGGGTGGGTTCCGCCACTGGTCTCGACACTGGCGGCGACTGTAGGTCTTTTGTGTTAATTTGTATCCCCCATTCGGTCTGCTGGTTTCGGGAAGGGGGTGTTTTATTATGGCGCATTGGTGTCTGGGTGGATGTATTGAATGGGTGGGGACACCAATGCGCCGCGCGGGGGGAGGGGTGGCGGCCCGTTGGCAGGGCAGTCTCGGTTGAGACTTGTATACTTGCTAGTGTGTTTGTGTCGTGTTCATTTGGGCTGAATATACCAATAGCCCCTTTTTGTACAGCTACAGTGTTTTCCTGGAGGGACTTGGTTGTGAGGTTTGCGCTGAGATTGGTTACGCATAGCATAGCTAATTGTCTCTATGTTTGCTGGCAGCTCGAAGGGGAAGCGGAAAATACGCCCGGTTATATATGACAAGATATAACCGGTTTTTCCGCGACACAACGAGCATCTTTGGGGCGGCCCCGGAGCCGGGCCGGCCTCTGCGAGCAGCGTTCGGCGGCAGGCGGGCGGCCGCCTGCGCCCCCGGGCGGCAAGGCCGCTAAGGCGGCGGCCTCATCTGATTGGTGGAGCGACTTGTGTCACGTGACGGTGACGGCGCGGGGTTTGAGTGCATTTGCGCGGTCACTCTGTTCTAAGCCGCCCGGTCTGACGCAAGTCAGCAGTGTTCTCGCTCTGAAATGTTTTTGCGTTTCCCACCCACCCACCACCATTTTTGGGGCTTTTTTTTTACACGCACCACACTCTTAAATAAAGATGGGTTTTTTCCACAAAATGTGGTTTTTCCCCAGCTAGGTCCCCCGGTTTTTTTCTAGTTAGGACTTTTTCCGGGGGAGGACACACACGACAGGGTTTCTAGTTTGGGTGGGGACACCAATGCGCCGCGCGGGGGGAGGGGTGGCGGCCCGTTGGCAGGGCAGTCTCGGTTGAGACTTGTATACTTGCTAGTGTGTTTGTGTCGTGTTCATTTGGGCTGAATATACCAATAGCCCCTTTTTGTACAGCTACAGTGTTTTCCTGGAGGGACTTGGTTGTGAGGTTTGCGCTGAGATTGGTTACGCATAGCATAGCTAATTGTCTCTATGTTTGCTGGCAGCTCGAAGGGGAAGCGGAAAAATATTTTATGCATGATTATATGGGAGCTAGTAATAGGCGTTTTCACGGCGGCCATCTGGTACACATTTGGGGCAGATCAGCTGCAGATTTGGTGCAAGTTTGGTCAAATTAGGTTCAGTGTGTTTCTTAAAAGTTATCAGTTTGGGTTGCACAGATGCTTATCATGATGTGTATTGTAAAAGAGATTTGGTGCATATTTGGTCAAATTAGGCACATTCGCAAGATAGCTCGTCGTGAAAACGGCTAATACCAAGTGAGTTATTTATTTTGCAGATCGATGCAATTCACGCTTATACTTTAAGTAAGTTTTCGTTAAATTTGAAACGTCAATTGGAAAAACAAATCATGTCAAGTGTGTTATGAAGCATTTGAGATTTGCCTGTTGAGAGTAGTGTTTTATGATCACGACTTACAAAATGTTTTCGCATTTTCAAAAGTTGTTACACGCCATATTTCATATATAAGCTGTCACAAAACAGACACGTCTTTTTTCTATTGTGAAATGATATCTCCCATTGTACATAGGTAATTATCCGGAGGAAAGTAAATGACCGATTTTTAAGCTTGAATTTTTGGCTTGAAAGTAATCCATAAGTTGAAATATTGTGACATTTATCACATCACATGTCAATGTTTTCCCACATAATCAACTCAACAAGTAGGTATGACTATTTAGGGACTATAGTTTGGCACTAATCAATGCAGTTTATGTCAATGAACCAAGGAAGTCACGGACGATAGAACTACGAATCTTCAATATATCGAATAAATAAGTAAATAAAAGTGGAACACCAAAGTCTAGAGACTATCACAACACAGCACCAGACAACACCACGCAGCATGTGTAGGTACTCTTCACTGGTCAAAACAAACGGCTCACTGTAGTCGTTCCCGATGGCATATCAACACTTGGACAAAACACTTCCCTTTCAGCTATTTGGATTCTTGAATAGGTAATCAAGTTAGCAATAATATACCATGACAACTCCAGGCTTTTGGGTGGAGACGGTATTTTCTGCCGGCTGAGCGTTTGTTGCATACTAAATGCTGCACTTTCCTTTGTCTACAAAAGTCAGCGTTGATATGCCACAGGGAGCCATATTGTGCTGTCACCACAACAACCACAGACCATTTCTGTCTAAGTGCATGGTGAAATTATTGTCATATGAACAGGAGACCAGCATTCTCATCAGGGAAACTTGTTCACCACACGAAATAAAACATAGCTATCACTACAAAAGCAAATGTCAAAACGATAACACAACTACAACAAATGAATATTTTTTAGCGGATTAGGGCGAGCTAGAGAGCGCAGCTCAACCCCATCAGTTTTTTCTGTCATATTGATTCCAGCTATCACCGATGGAGCAATCCTTAGTCACGACATCATGCGTGCAGTCGGTATGACTGTTGTGTAGCCAGGGTTCACGACCTTTGGTTGCCAGGCTAGAGCGAACCAGCCCGCAGGTAGAGACTCGCCATATGACCCCCCCCCGCAGCGCTGAAGTTACACCGATAGAATTTTATCTTAAGTGTTCTACTCTACGTCTGTTCAGCTGGTAATACTCTGACACTAACGAGTAACGACGACCTGGGACAGATTCCTCAACGACTCCGCATGGGCCAAACGTGGCCAGAGAAGGACCAGATTGTATGGCCAGTGCTCAATATGGGGCATCAGCACTCGGCCATATCAAAACTATTCCAGCGCTAGGGAATGAACTAGATGGATTTGCTTTGGCTGGTGCAGGGGCTTTCAAGTTACCTCAATGGGAAAAAATTTATGAACATTTTTACGCAAATGAAGTCGCGAATGTGGCAGATTGAACAAGTTAGCACTTTGCTACACTACCATTTTATAGTTCCACTGGCTTTGCTTGTATTTTTATTTTATTTTATTTGTTTTATTTTTCTATTTTTTGCTTGGATCGCTTGGATTAATTTTTTTACTATTTTTTGCTTGCTTCAGATAAGAAGTACGTCATCTTTATCAGGCATAAAGAAGTCAAATTTACTTTTTTCAGTTTTTCCTACTTTGCATAATTGTGTGCAACCAAGATAAAAATCAAAACCAAGAGCTATATATTGTTCCGTGCGGTTAGTCGCCATCATGCAATTCTAGTGTGTCTCAAACTGAATGTGCAACTGCGTGTCGAGGAGGGGCGTGCGCCGCGCCTCGTTTGGGCATGCTGTCTCGTGCAGACCGGTCCGGTCCGGGCCGGGCCTGCGGGCCCGGGGTGTCAGCACAGAACACATACGTTGGAGACGTCGACGAACCGAGACAGGCGTCTCTGATAGCTCTCCGACATAGACTGACGCTGAAAAGAACGGTCCAATGGAGCACAGGTCAGCGCCAGAGAACGCTTACCGAGCGAGTTCTGGTCTACCCGCCGGCGTTCGGTGCGATACGATAGAGCTAACAGCGGTGCAGCAAATAAGGTGAAATGCTTCTAATTATCTAGTTTGCACATTCTAATGAATAGCCTTGTATTCTGGCGTGAGGTGCTTTATCCCGCGCCCCACTGGGGTCTGCGTATAACACGCCCTACGGGGGGGGGGGGCTATTTCAAACCTGATTTCATTGACCTCGAGGTCACCGATGACGTCACAGGTCAGGTCAAAGTAAAAATTATTAGCATTTTGGATTCTTCACGTTTTGGGCTCTGGCCGCCGTCTTACAAGTCAGATAAGGCTCATTTTTGGTTCACACACTCGTGAACAGATGCTCTAGATACTCTGAGGGTACCAAACTTGTACTTTGATTTTCAGGTCAAGGTCAGGTCATCACAGGTCACGAAAATATTATATCATCCGTCGGTCACGTGACACATGTTTTATGGTCCATTTAGGCCAAACATTTCGAATTTGATGTCGTCTGTGTCATTCGAGGTCATTTTTAGTCAAATTTAGCTCAGGTCAGGTCACTTTCAGGTCAAAAAAGGTCAAATTTTGAAGTTATAATTTTTCAACAAAAAAGGTGTCTATTGGATGCAGTTTGAGCTCAGGAACACGATGGTGCTATTTATATTGGCGTACGATGTCAAATTCGTGCTGAAAAATTGATTTGAAAAATTAATAATTGTTAATTTTTTGCAATAATGCGTATAACTTGGCCATTTTTGAAGGTATTCAGCTAAAACTTGCTAGACTTAGTCATAATAATGCGTTCTATCACATATATTCCGGTTTTTTTTCGAAAAGTCAAAAAGTTTTTGAAAAAAATGTAAAAATATAAATTTTGAATTTTATTATATAAAATTTTCGAAATTTTCAAAATTTCGAAAATCCGAGATAGCAGTTTGATAGCGCAGTCTATTCTGAGTCCGCTCATGCAAAGAAATTGGATCTAGCTTAAAAACTGAGCTCTTGGGAGCGATTGCCGTGGTTCAATGTTTTGCGTCGAAATCGGCCGAACATGACGTCACTCTGACGTCATTTCCGGCCGACCTATGGTAGGTACGAAGTTCAAATTGTGACACAAGGTGTCAAATTGATGCAGCCGAAGGTGCTGAAAGTTTGGCGTCGATACGTCAAGCGGTTTGGAAGTTATTGCAGAAAAACGGGAGGGGGGGGCTATAAATAGCCCCCCCCCCAGTGGGGCGCGGGTTATTCTATACATCTAAATAAAGATAAAGAGTCTGAGAGAGGCAGCCTACTTAGTACTTATGCTTGCTCGCAATAATGCCAATTTGAATTTCCACCATTTGTCGGCAGTTGATTCGGTTCACATAAATATATATTCAGGTGGGGTCAGCCTTTACATTTTTCATAAAAACTTTTTAATGATTTGACGCATTTAAACACGTCCCATTTCCAACGTTGTGATCTTTATGCATGTATTCCCCTGCTCTATATGACTGCCCTGTTTGTTGAACGTTTTGAGGTCTATTGATTTTCTTAAATATGCCTCGCCCTGAATTGGTAATTCCGACGTGAAATGGCCATATTTTCATCATAACTACGAGATTGATGTCGTTGTTTTCACGCCAAGACCCTGACCCCGTGTTTTTGCGGGCTTAATCAAAATATGCTAAGAGGAAAGGGGCTGAATTTATCGCGAGTTCTCAGGAGCCTGTGACATAACAGAGTGCAGTACCTACAGAGTGAAAGTGGCTCACAACCTGACAGCCATTTGTGTTTCTCCACGAAGAAACGCCTTATCCTGATAAATGTATAGCACATTTCAGTAACAACCCAACCATTCACCCTCCTATTTCTATTTCGAATGAGCCCTCTATCACAGACAGCGGTGGCAGCACTTTCCACATTTCGACCGTGGTGCCGAAGCGTATTTGCTGACATGGGTGTAACTTTGTATACTTTCGAGGTCCCATGTGGGACCCCAATGCGAACATTTGGGACCCCAATTGTCATTTTGGGACCCCAATAGTGGAGGCCCCCGAGACGCACCAGCCACTACAAATGGAGGTCCGATGTTCATATAGAAGGTTCTCTGTATAAATAGGAGGCCCCTTAGATAAATAGGAGGCCCTGTTGGACATATGGGAGGCCCCCTGTATGTATGTATGTATGTATGTATGTATTGACAATCAAGAGCAATCCACAATCGGCGTGGCGATTACACTCCGAGTCCGAGCTGGTTGAAGATAACACAAGAAATAGGTACCTACACAAGAAAACGCACACACTTACGGATACGAAATACACAACGCGAACGCCGAACACGCACATACTTGGTGTAACCAGCACGAAGCCGCGTTCATAACTATGTACACACAGACTCGTTTGCCTTTCATAGTCCAAGAGTCATGAGGCTAGCTACTATGGCTACTCTGGCTAGGCTTAAGCCCCTTTTTTACAGCACGGGCAAATCTGGCTGGAGGCAACTGCGTTAGCTCGAGGGGGAGAGTATTTAGGAGCGCCGCGGCACGGTAGGCGAATCTACGTTTTCCGGTCTCTAGTCGGGGTCGCGGTAAGTGGAAAAGGTGGTCTTGGCGAGTAGACCTTGCTCGTGTTTGGGAATTTTTGGAAAATAGGGTCGCGATCTCCTCGGGTTCACCTCTCTGGATGGCCTTGTGCGCCGTGATAAGGGTATGGTATTCAGCCATTGTTTTAGGTGCCATCCAGCCGAGTTGGTCCCGGAGATGGGAGACATGATCAAATTTACGGCGACCGAAAATGACTCTAGCGGCAAAGTTAAGAATTTTCTGAATGCGATCGAAGTTCTTTTGGCTACCATTACCAAATACGGAGAGACAGTACTGGATCCGTGACATGACGAGAGCCACCACTAGTGTCTTGGTGACACCGTCGGGGAGGTAGTGGCGGACATGGGAGAGGCCAATTAGGAGACCCGTGCATCGGCGACTGAGCTCGGACACATGCGCGTCCCAGGACAGGGTGCCGTCGAAGATAACGCCCAGGTTGCCCACCTGCTTGCATGGCACTAGCTTGGTGTCGCGAAAAGAAACGGTGAAAGCAGGTATGCTTCTCAAATTTTGCCGACTGCCGAAAACCATGAGCTGAGTTTTAGCAGTGTTTACTTTAAGAGCATTTGCACTGAACCAATGGTCGAGAGACGCCAGTGACGCTTCCAAGCGCGAGATGAGTCCCCTAAGGTCGTTTAAAGGGCCACTCACCAACAATTGAGTATCATCAGCGTACTGGAAGACTGCTGCATCCTCAGAATAAAGTGATAGATCATTGGAAAATACCGTGAAGAGTAAGGGACCGAGTGCCGAGCCTTGAAAGACGCCCATAGAGTTGGGGAGAGGTTGTGATAATACCCGGCGACCGGACTCGTCCTTCAATGACACACTCTGTGTGTGACCCTGGAGATAAGCGGCGAACCAGGATGTCTCTATGCCGTGCATTGCCAATTTAGCGAGTAATAACTCATGGTTGATGACATCAAAACATTTGCTTAAATCAATAAGGCATAGCATAGAGACATCCCCCCTATCGGTGGCGGCCAGGATTTGGTCACTGACGGACAGAAGTGCTGTCTCAGTTGAGTGCCGGGGTCGGAAACCGTGCTGGGTATTGGCCAGAAGATGGTTTTGGGAGAGATAGCGATAGAGCTGTTTGTGAATGACTCGCTCGACCACCTTCATAATGACAGGTACTAAGGAGATAGGTCGGAAATTAGTGGGATCAGATGGGTTTCCAGACTTGAAGATGGGGTGAACTATAGAGTGTTTCCAATGAAAGGGGATATCGGACCTTGAGATGCAAGTGTTAATGATGTGAAGGATAACGTCACCGATAGATGGGAAAGCAGTTTTCAGCATGCGAATGCAGACGCCATCAGACGCACAGGCGGCAGAATTGCGCATATTGAAAACGGTGTGACCGAGTTCACCGAGAGAGATAGGTCTGGGCTTAAATCTACCGGTTACGACACGCGGCAAACGGCCAATTTGCTTAACAACTGGATTTTGGTCACGGATCTCTGTAGCGACGCGGGGACCCACAGAAACGAAAAAAGAATTTAAAACGTCAGCCGATACATCAGGTTGAACACTAGGTCCGTCTTTCTTACCAGCCACAACCGACCTAATACTTTTCCACACCTTGTTGGGACCCCGCCCACTAATCTCTCTGTGAAGTTCGCCGCGTCGGTCTCGTCGCACTGCGGCCCGGACAGTTCGGTTTAAGTCTTTGTAAACCTCCGACTTTCTACCGAACTGCTGTAACGCGGTACGACGTTGATCCATGATTTTAAGTGTGGCGGGGGTAACTGGTGGTGCTGTAGGATTACGGATGGTAATATTCTTTATAGGTGCGTGATCGTCAAAAATCGGCAGAAATTCGGTCAGGAAAGCATCCCACTGGTCACTTACGTTCGTGGCACTAAACACGCCCTCCCAATCGGCAAACATCAGGTCAGAGTTCAGGGCATCGACATCTATACGGTTGATCGAGCGGGATTGAACAACTGTAGGATTTTTGCGCTGTTTCGGAACGTTAATAGACACACGAAGGAGTTTGTGTGGGCTGAAGTGGCAAAAGGATGCAGAGCAATCACGCACAAGCTCTCTATTTTTAACCATACAGACGTCTAGCAACGAGCCGGAAGTGTACGTTGGAACGGTTACAAGCTGCTCAAGAGAATAATTCGATAAAAAGTCCCTGGACAAATAGGAGGCCCCCTGAACAAGTAGGAGGCCCCCCGGAAAACAGGAGGCCCCTGGAGAAATAGGAGGCTCTCTGGACAAGCAGGAGGCCTCCTGGACAAATAAGAGGCCCCTAGACAAATAGGAGGCCCCATGGACAAATAGGAGGCCCTCTGTACAAATAAGAAGCTCTCTGAACAAATAGGAGGCCCCATGGACAAGTAAGAGGCCCTCTGTACAAATAGGAGGCCCCCTGCAAAAATAGGAGGCCCCCTGGACAAATAGGAGACCCTAGACCTAGACAAACAGGAGGCCCCTTTCACAAAAGGAGCCCTGGACAAATAGAAGGCCCCTTTCACAAAAGGAGGCCCCCTGGACAATTAGGAGGCCCCCTGGACAAATAGGAGGCCCCCTTGACGAATAGAAGGCCCCTGGATAAATACGAGGCCCCCTGAACAAGAAGGAGGCCCCCTGGATAAAGAGGAGGCCCCCTAAAAATAGGAGCCCTCTGGATAATAGGAGGCCGCTTGGAGAATAGGAGGCTTCTTTAACCAAAAGGAGGCCCCTTGGACAAATAGAAGGCCCCCTGAACAAGTAGGAGGCCCGTTGGACAAATAAGAGACCTCTTGGACAAATAGGAGGCCCCCTAGAAAAATAGCAGGCCCCTTGAACAAATAGGAGGCCCCCTGGACAAATAGGAGGCCCCCTGTACAAATAAGAGGCCCCCTGGACAAATAGAAGGCTCCCTAAACAAAAAGGAGGCCCTTCAAAAAAGGAGGCCCCTGGACAAGTAGGAGACCCCTGCACAAACATGAGACCCCTGTTCGAATAAAAGACCCCTGGATAAATAGGAGGCCCCTGGACAAATAGGAGGCCCCTGAACACGTAGGAGGCCCCCTGGATTAAGAGGAAGCCCCTGGAAAATAGAAGCCCCTGGATAAATGGGGACCTTCTGGAGAAACAGGAGAACTCCTGGACAAATAGGAGGCCCCCTAGACGAATAGGAGGCCCCCTGGACAAATAGAAGGCTCGCTAAACAAAAAGGAGGCCCTTCAAAAAAGGAGGCCCCTGGACAAGTAGGAGACCCCTGCACAAATATGAGACCCCTGGTCGAATAAAAGACCCCTGGATAAATAGGAGGCCCCCTAGACAAATAGGAGGCCCTCTGTAACAGTAGGAGGTTCTCTGTACGTACAAATAGGAGAACGGCGCTTGACCTGTAGAAGCTCAGCTGTATGTACAAAAAGGAGGCTCTCTGTGCAAGTAGTCGAAGTAGGAGGCTCTCTGTACTGTACCTACAAATAAAAGGCTCCCTGGGCAACTTAGATGCTACACAAATCTGAGGTCACCTATAAAAAGCGGGACTCTGTTGGAGTACCTGTTTGAATAAATTATTGTCCTGATATTCAAATTATTTAATCCTCGCCCGCACATGGGGGGGGGGCAGTGGTTGTCACTCCCCCCCCCCAGGTAGTTTTTCTGCTCTGCGCTCAACATTTTGATTGCTAGAAGCCGGATGTTTCGTATAGCTGCTTCTCTATCCTTTCTTAGCGTCCACTGAAAATTTCAAGTTTCTGTGGTTTTTTGGTTTCGGAGATACTGATGACAATATGATTGATTGTCATATGATATTGATTGACCTTGTGATTGAAACACATATGATTGACCTTGACCTAACTTGACCTGAAATGACCTCAGCAGCAAAAATCTGGTCGGGTAGTGTGACAAAGAGGTTCTAGCTGGCTTGGCACCACAATACGGCAGCGTCATCGGTATATGATGAGCAGCACACGTGATATTCCAACGGGCAACGGTGAGCCCAAACAGCAACATTCTTTAGTTTGACCTGACCTGGAAGGTCAATGACTGACCTGATGAGATAAAATTTGGTATCATTGGATTCGTCTCTACCCAAAGAATCTGTTGCTCTTGACCGCGAAGCTTAAAATCTTGTAAGAAAAAATTGTGGTGATGTAGAATAAAATACCTACACAAGCAGCGGACCAACCCATCATATACCGATGACGCTGCCGTATTAGTGCCAAGCCAGCTAGAACAGCTCTTTGTCACACTATCCGACTAATTTGCTGGCTGTGGTCATTTCATGTCAAGTTAGGTCAAGGTCAATGATATGTGTTTGTATGTCTGTGTATGTCTGTGTATGTACTGATGTGTGCACAGATTGGTTTGTGTTTCCCTATTACATGATATCATGAACTGAGAAGCTTTTACTAAACATGCAGTCAAAGAAACTTCACGAAAAGTAAATTCAGCTTGTCTAAAACGCAATAGTTTTAGATGACCTAGGTTGACCTTGACCCTGACCCTGACATCTGTACATCGCAAAGCAACATGTTCAATGATAGGTGGGAGGTAAGACTGGCAAAAAAAGCCGAAACCAGGGTGTCAAAAGCTCACAAGGCCCATAGCCAACGCAAGATATTGGGTATTCGTTATTTAGGGCATGACATGACCTGAAGAACAAGGTCATATCTCCAAACCCAAAAGCCACAGAAACTTGAAATTTTCAATGGACGCTGAGAAAAGATAGAAAAGCAGTTACACAAAAAAATCAGGTTTCTACCTTTAAAAATGTTCAGTGTAGAGCAGAAAAACTAACTTGGGGGTGGCAACCATCCCCCCAGGTGAGGGCGAGGGTTAACCCTCACACTTTCTGGGGTCGACTAGATTCGTTGTGCAATGCTGTGCGGTTAAATTATTTTTTTTTCTATAATAAAGGCATTTTGTTTTATTGTCGAAATTGAAAAAGCCAGAAATTTTCGTCGATTTCGGACGCCGCGGGGGATATTTACATACAATGTCAACCTGCTGGCCTGGATCCACCAGTAGGGTCAGGTGACCTACCATTTCTTTATTAAAACCCTCGCCGGCACAGGCCATTTTGCGTCCTTCGACGGCACAAGGGGGGGGGTGGTACGACCCCCCCTCGCGTTTGGCCCCTGATCGAGCTAGAGCTTCGCGGAAAAAACGAGCGTGTTGCCCGTCACGAGACAAAGCTGATGATACCCAATTTTAAGGTCCTAGGTCATCGGGTGACCTTCCAGGTCAGGTCAATGACCCGAAAACCGGGAAAATCGGGACCTGTTAGAAAGTCGTAAATTGTGGCTGCTATGTGGTTTTCCGGGGTGCTGATCACGAATATCGTGTTAGTTTTGATCAGATATGATGTCTTTAAGCATTTAGACCAGGTCGGGTCAGGTCAGGTCAGGTCAACCGGTAGGTAGGAGTTGCGACGGGTATTCGTAATACGTGTCAACCGCCTCTGACAGCTTCGTAACATGTTACGAAGGCACCAAAACTACTTCGTAAATGTTCAAATGGTTGCTAAATTCGAATTCAGCTCCAAAAACTAGCCTAGAAACATGTAAAACTCGAAAAAGTGAACCGAGGTCACCCGAGGTCACCAATGGTCAATGACCTGACCTGACCTTCAGGTGACCTTGACACCCACCCTAATGTATGGGAGCGACATCAAATCACATGTTTGAACGTTTGAAACCACTAAAAGCTTGCAAACGCGCGGCTAATGTTAGCCGACATACGCCGAATCGCGATTCCGGCCAAACATGGTCTCGGAAAAGAGGTCACTGGTCAAAGGTCATTAGGGTCAGGGTCATGAACTTTTCAGAGTAGGTGTAAAATTGATCAATGCGAGGGTACTGAAAGTTTCGTCGCGATCGGCCGCTTTTTACGCGAGTTATTTGCGAAAAACCTTAAGGAGGGGTTGCATCAACCCCCCCCCCCCCTGTGCCGGCGAGGGTTAATATTAAAAAAAAAATTAGATCATGGCATCCGAGCTGTGACGAAAAATAAGTGACCTAAATCCGATGAGAAAACTGGATTTGGGGGTACCCTAAGTTTGGCTTCTGAGCCTCTGGTCCCCCAGTGAAAATTTCTTAGAGGAGGCCCTGGCGTGGTTCGTAAATTACCGCTTCCGCAATTGGAGGCCCCTAATTGCTTGGAGGCCCCCACTAAATGGAGGCCCCCTTGGACGTTTGGGACCCCAATGGTGATGTCAAAGTTTCACCCATGTTTGCTGAATTTCGACGGCAGGTCAACAAGAGCAAACATTCAGCTGCAGCTGCACGCTTCTCATGGTCTGACTACCAGGCATCAAAACAAATTTGCATTTTCCGCTCCACATCGCGTTATACCCGGGAGGGCATTAAACTGACGTGAAATTTCTACTCTTGCCACCCCAACAACTGATCAGTCTGGCAAATTTTCACCATATTTTACCGAATGGAAAGATGATCTCCGCATTAATGCATGGCGATAAGGCTGACATCCGCGATGTCGATAACTGTTTCACAAATGTTCACTATTTTTGACAATAGTTGAAACGCACCTCTAAAAGAGAAGTAACTTGACACAGTACAAGATACAAGCTATCATAAATGAAATAGCATTGTGTGTGTGTGTTTTTTTTTTGTATCTACATGTCATTTGACAGGCAAGCTCGATGCATTGCACAACTTTAGAACAAATGCGGAATAGAAGTTTCATGCTCTATACCTATATTCTCTGATATAATGCTACACAAGTATGAAATTTTAAATCGTTTCTTTCGCCTGCATCCCTTACCTCTTCTTCAGCACTCGTTTGCTTTATTTCTCACACTGACACAACCACAGTCTGGTCTAACCTCACCTCGGTAACTCACCTCACTTCACCTCGCTCCTCCTCGGACCTCTGCTCCACCACCTGACCTCAGCTCCTCTCACCCCTCTCACCCCTCTCACCCGTCTCACCTGGCCGGTAAGTGCCTCGGCGCGCGGCGTCATCTTGTACGCCGGCAGGTAGGGCTCCAGCATCCGGATCTTGCCCCAGCGGTTAATGAAGAGCGCGATGGCCAGCAGCCAGAGGAGTAGCACGAGCAGCACCAGTCCCACCTCCTCGGCAGTGACCGGCAGGGAGCCGGCCGACGAGGGGCCAGAGGGTGCCGCGTGCTCGCCCCCCGCCGGCGGCTCCGACACCTCAGAACCTGACGGCGAGACGGGATCAGATCGTTAATCACCGTCCCGTGTGCTGCTGACTGAAGCTGTTGCTCTGATGAACCCGTGCTTTGGATGAGTTTGTAAGCTCGGAGATTAATTAGGAATCTCAATGGGTGGGCAAGCAGCGTCAAGCTGCCCGAAGCTGCTGCACCTGGCTTTGACGTTTTGAGAAGCACTACCGTTGATCAATAGGGATGGCTCCGAGAAGGATCGATGATTGGATCAGATTTCAGATAATCCGTGCACGAAATAAAAACCATGACCCTGAACTTAGCCTAAGGAAATTTCATAGCGCTCACCACGATAGGATTGGCTATGCAGGAAAAATTCGCTCAGCCTTAGTCACATGAGATGCCATAACGCTACAGTTTTTTCATTCAGCATTCTCTCAGAATTTCGCCCATTCAGCCCATTTGCACGTTAATCTTTTAAAAAGCTTTATGCTCCCCAAGCCAACTATCCCTATCAAAGTGTTCATTCCTGCTCATGAATATGCAAATAGCATTCTCTGCCATCGACCTTTTGCTCTGTGCTGTAATGGGCCCCGTAAGCCCACCAAATCGTCGGCGACAGCACGGCCAGACTGTAGAAGCTTCGAGCGCGCTGCTGTGGGGCCCTGAAAGGTATGCTGTGCCGCAATACAGCTATGTAGTGCGGAACAGCAGCGAGTTACGTTGACTGGAACTTGGGCGCCGACGAGGATTGTACTCGTATGCTAAAATACCGACCAATTACCGCTGAATATGGCTTGTAGATTGCATTGTGATGGTCAGACTTCATGCCCTTTTTATCGCGGTCTATAGCTACCCTCATCCCCCCCCCCCCACGTAACACTTTTAACATGAACTCCAATGCATCCGAGACACCGCCGGGGTCAGGAAGACAAGGGAGAGAATTGAACCGAATGGAAACATATGGTAACCATTACTTCTTTGAGTAAAAATTAACGAAATTCTCAATGAGGAGCTTCTTCAAGGGCTCTGACAACGCAGCTACAAATAGAACATTGCTGTGCAATATCCTTTCCCCTCTCCATCGGACCGGTAACACGGAAGACACTTTCTCATGTGTCTCGACCCCGCCTAATGGTACACTCATACATATCGTGCTTCCAGGGCGAACTCATCTGATGCAATGGCGGAACTGGCAACATTGGCGCTGGTTGGGAGACAAATTCTCGCTCCATGGGTGTCATAGTGAGCACTTGTTTCGCTATGGAAACGGTGAGAGAGCATTTGTGACGAGTGTATATGCATTTGCTACACGATTTTTTTTAATTATGCTTTGAAGAGCAGTTAGAAAGCAATGCTGTCGCAAGACTGGGTCTGGAGAAACTGGGCTGGTGCAAAGGTCGTAGAGAACGGATGGCGGTTTGCTTCTCAACGAAAATCAATCGCTTATCTATCGGCTTTCAAGCCGCTGAGCTGTTTCGTTTTCATGAGTTGAGCATCTCATTCTCTTCCTATTTTTCAAGTAGCTCAGCCGGCTATATTTACATCTTCATCCACAAGCCGTCTGAACTACATTTTATTCTCATTCATATTTTCTTCCGTATCCCCTCGGAGAGATGCACTTCTATCACTTCGCCTCAGCTATTCATAACGCAGTCTAGAGTCTAGAATCCGGTTCAGATTCAGCCAGAGCGCTGACAGCCTGATGGGTATCACTCAGAAACGGTCGCCGAGACATCATACACTGAATGAGACGGCTGATCTCTGTGACGGGCCAGAGACGGATCTCCATTCGACAACTTCGCGGGAATCGAGGAGCCGAAGCGCCCTTCGTCTGGGCTCAGATGAGTGACCGGCGGAGGGCTGTCAATCAACAGTCAACAGAATGTCAAATTTATCCAGTCAGCTGCATGACTAAATGGAAGCGGTCCCTTCAGCCTTCAGAGACAGACAATGACGTTGATGTCGATGACGCATGAAATTGCATTAGCGTGTCAGGTCACTGATACATTAATTTGGTAAAAAGGAAAATTTTAGGCAACTGCCTGTTACTAGTTAATTAAATTCATTCTACGCAATCTAGTGGAGTGAGCCGCTCACGTGTAGGATCCTTTTGCCTTTTGCTGATCTGATTCGACATGCGTCCTGAGCGATACACTTCCCTGTCTGGTTCCATGTCCCGTCCCAAAGGTCAGCCTACCGTCCGAGACGTCCCGTATAAGAGAAAAGCTAGACAGCAACAGCTAGAACTTCCGCAACTTCGTGACCAATTACGTCACCTCAGAGCCCTCCCTCCCCGTCCGGGGAACGGCCGTCCCTCTCAACTGAACTCCGTGGCAAAGCTCAGCCCCCCCCCCCCAATTACTGGGCCCAATCTTACCAACTGCCGTGAATGCGCATTCACGGCATTTGGTAACAGTTATTATTATTCAACATTCATTCATTCATTCATTCATTCATTCATTCATTCATTCATTCAGGCTACATTCATAAACATTCACGCTATGAAACACATTCGGCGAGATCAGCTGGACGTAACTAAAAACAATGCATTTTATATGTATTATTGCCGGTAATGCGGCCAGTGCTGCCAAATCCCATACACGCATTGGTATAAGATTGGGCCCTGGTTGGTTGGTAGGGTCGTGACCCCGCACGAGCTGTGCGTGACAGCGGGACGATGTCTCGAGACTACCGCGTGCTGGCTTCAGCCATCTGGTTCGTTTAGGTATTCAATTCAAAAGCGGCACGTAGTAGAGACCTAGATCGATCGGCTATCGATCTACACTAAATTGAGTTTGGTCGTGGTCTGTGGCTTGGATTTTATTAGGATTTCTAAAACTACCTACTTAAGATGGACAACGTCAAAAAATATCACACAGCCTTGTAGATAAATTAAAAAAAGATAGTGTGCCTGCCCATGACATATCTTTTACCATGGCGTGCTGACATTGTAGGTCAATCATCTGCAGAATATGTAATGCTCCACGAGTAGCCATTATATGGACTGCTGTTCCACGCCGTATCAGCAATAGCCAATGCGCTTTGATAATCGCCCCGGGGGCGGCTACGCTTTCAAACCGAGCGTTGGCCAGCTCAGCGAGCGTTCGTCATGTTTTAGAGCGTCATTTCAGGTCTGCGATGTCCGCTGATGGGCCTTGGGTCATCATGCAGGGTCGTCGCACGGAGCCATTGACGTGCCCACGCTTATCAGTATCGTCATGGTTATTGACGGTTTTATGGATATTATCCTCGTCGATGTCCAAGGAATTCAAAGTGCTACTTTGACGACAATAGGGACATTGCATTCACGACCCGGATCCTTATCTGATATACATTGAGATGATGCACATTGATTGGTAAACTCGAAGGCTTTTTAGCGGAAATCTCATCGTTACTGAGACATCAATAAACTATGCATGTGAACTTTAAAAGTCCAGTTCATGCCTGACATGCACTTCACGTCTGCAATTTAGCCAGCTAGCTCATGCAACTTATCCAAATTTTAACGCACCATTACATGGAGTCAACACAGATAGAAAGTGAGAGATGAAACTTTATTTTATTCAAAATTTCGTTGAAAAATAAAACAAATTATACCCTCCATGACCCCAAGGTTGAATTTCACGCCGGATGGGGAGCGGCAAAGCACTCGGGAGCGAACCCATCGTTCATTCGATCGCCATACGATAGTGCGGATATGAGCTCCTCATTCAGCGCTGAGACAGCCCCAGCGATCAGAAGTGGCCCGACGGTGGCCCAGAGTGCTCTTGGAAGTGACATTCCAGTTGATAGAGCCATCCGGCCGGAGCCCCTCCAGAGAGCAACTGTCCGACGTTATTTTCCGATTTGGCTCCCGCAGCTAGCTAAATAAAACAGAACACAAGGGCAGTGGAATCGCACTCAAATATGAGTGAGCACCATCTTCGGTATAAACATTCATTTCAGCTTGTGGCATTCCTCTAAATGCATCTGCAACTGCATGCACGTGGGAGCCCGGATGCATGCCTATTGCCCACCTACCCATGCACCATGCTGGCGTGAAAAGTGTACTGCTGCAGCTCTGTATGTATAGGTACTCACTGTTGCTGGCTGGGCCGTCCATGCCGGCTCGGACGAGGCTGGCGCAGGGGGGCAGCTCATTGCTGGCCGGGACCTCCACGGTCAGACGGTCGCGGGTCAGCACCGGAGACCGGCCCTCTGCCCTCTCCCTCCCTCTCACCGCCGCTCACTGCTCTGCCTTCTTGGAAACGGTATCCACTCACGTAGACGCCACACCACAGGGCGGCTTCACCTGAAAGGACACGGAGGTGAACAGTGGTTAGAACTTAGAAACCATCCACGCAATATTAGGTATGCAGAAATGTGCCTAAAATGAATCGGTCATTTACTACAAAATGCAACTGTGTTCAGCAAGAAGAAGACTTGAAAGTGTGGAAATGGCTAGTTTATGGGTATATCACTACAAATCCGTGAAAAGTGGAACTGTTCAATGATAGTCACTCATTGGGTAATTCCCACGACTGTTTTATTTCTCAGCAGTCTATCACATTGAATAACATAGTATTTTATGATTATATCTGCTTTGCATCAATCCATTCTTTTCCACTAGTAAATGAAACAGTATTTCCCTGCTGAAGATAATTTCATGTCACGGGAAATGTGAATAGTCACTCATGGTCACCCGGCTTCAAATGGTAAATAAGAATAGTCAATACTAAATAGATAATAATAAAGTTATTTTAAGTAATTTGCGAACGAGTATGACACCTCAGCAGCTGAATTGCTCTAACACGGCACGGTTGGACATTGGGTCGGCTACCGAGCGTAGCAATGGTCTCATTGCTATTCGAGACAGCGCCGCCGGCACCAGCTGACGGTCGAAAGGCTCGGCTATTTTCCTTCTCACGTCCCATCTGTTACTTGACAGTTATCTAACCCACTGTGACGTCAGCACAAAGCTTAGTACCTCGCACAAGAAAGAGCGTCGTAGTTTGAGCTACCTACATCCTTTTTTGACAAACGTGATTTGTTTTTTAAAAAAATCTCCATTTTTTCTTCTTCCCTCATTTTTCAGACCAGACGTGCTCTTTTCCAACTCGTCACCAAAAATAACACGGCTCTCGTCCCAGGTTCACGCTCTCCGAAGTCCCTTCCCTGTGTATGTGCTGCTTAAGTGGTTGAAATCGTGTTAATAAAACGCATAAAATCTGCTAGCAAATTATCGTCTATCGAAAGACTCGGTCCGATTCCGAACATGGATAGACCGAGGAACTGGCATGAAAGGATAGCCTTCGATGGCTAAAAAAATTGGTCGAATAAGACCGCCGTTGTATCAATCCTAAGCACCGCAGGACATCAGAATTTTGTTCAAAATTGACCACCCTGCGACGACAATCGAATCCACGGTCACATCCGCCACACCGGAGCTCCCTCTCTGCTTCCAGCGCGTATCGTACTATCGTGCTTGGGGCCACTCAGGTCCCAGTGGTTGTTCCCGTCGCACCATCAGCCCCCGTGGGAGAGGCCTGCCAAGGTCGGTCCCAGTACGCCGCTATTTCCGATCCATCTGCACTAACACGACGGGCCACTCGGGCGGACACAGGACTACCGGGGTGGGCACTGTTCCCGCCGAGTGGCCTCACCGGTCATCGGTCAGCGAACGGTCATACAGCAGCGGGTCAGTCAGAGGTCAGTCGTCTCTGGTCGGTCGTGTATAGTCGGTCGGCGGTCAGCCAGTAAGGGCCCGGTCAGCCAGTGATTAGTCAGTGGTCAGCTATCGGTTAGTCAGTGGTAGCGATCGGTGTAAGCCGTCAGTCGCGGAGTCACCTGCTGAAGACTGCACACGGACCGGTCAGTGGATGGCTCCCCAGGGCTCGCACCGCCTTTCTGCCGTCACTGCCGACCGTTCCACCAATCTCTCAGGCTCCGGCACCAAAAACGCTGACGACACTTTCAGCGGCGCGGCGCAAATTGGCGCTGCTGCGGCGCAGATGCCGCAGATTGGAAAACGTCATTTGTTCGGTGACCGTCGCAGATGAAGGGAGCAGCACCCGTGCGAGGGACGCGGTAAAGAACTTATATAGGTTTCTTATAGGTATCTTGGTAAAGAACACGGCGATGGTGATGACGGCACACTGAGAAAAACAGCAACTGGAGGTGGAGGAGATAAGACAGTTTCTCCCACCGGCAAACCGTTTGTTTTTGTCTTGTTTGTTTAAATCGAACATTTAAAGTAGAAATTTAAAAGAAAACACACATTCACAATTTATTTCGCATTATTTCCCGTTGTGTATTATCCCTCTAATCATGCATAATATACGGTGGAACTTTTTAGCGAAGTGTGAAAATTAGTTCACCGCTCGCTGTTTTTACGTTGGATCCCAAAAGTTTGCTCCTCACACGATTTGGGTGAGATAACACCCCACAACTGTTAACATGTCATCAAGTTTCTGGTAAGAATGTTGGAAACTTTGGCTAGGCGAGGATTAAGCCAAGAGCGCAGGGAAGCGGTGTACTCAATCTCAATTTTCCAGATTTTCATCCTGGCTCATTTGATGTAAGAAAAAGTGCAGTGTATAAAGTTGTTCGATACCTGCCTAAAATTAAGTTTACATTTCGGATCTTTTGCTGGAGCAAGGCTAAGACGTTCATCGTTTTCTTAAGCCCTCCAGTTTTGTAACAATAAATCGCTCGAAGCCAATACAAACTGCAGCCGCAGTTTAAAACCGTTGTCACCTCTCCCCACACCTCCTCAAAACCGTGTCGGCTGCCCGCGTCAGCTGTTCCCCAGCTCCACAAACACTCGCCGCTCTGTTTCCCTAGATCAAGAAAAATAACCTGGCTCGAGCGGTGCCGCTGAGCTGATTTTCTCTGCGGAAACTAGTCTGCTCTGTTTTAAACAGCGCTGCGTGAGGCGGTGGCTGAGTTCGGAGCAGCCGAAGACCTAGATGGAAAGGGAATGGACGAGCTCTCGGAGTTTCCTACTCCGGTTATCAAGCGTCTGATGAAGAAGGATGTTGCGTCATGCCGGTGAAATATGGACGGGCATGATAGTTAAGCTTCATTTCCATACGACCTGGGACGTGTCGCGCGTGCTTTATAATAGCAGGCGCATAGACTGTGACATGTAACAAATGTGTCCGATTTAACGAAACGACCTTTCGGAGCATTCGCTTCGTGCTCAGGCATTTGACTCTTTGTTCTGACTGATGACTCTCACGTGCTATGTTCCTAGGTTAACGCACGGATATGATTTCAAAGTTAGACACGCTGCCCATGAGAAAACAGTTAGAGCTTGGGCTCTAAAAACGACTCCATTCCTAAGGTTTCCATGAATTCTCGCCAGCTTTCTGGTTCAACTCGGTCTCACCTTCACCGACAGCCATCGTTCTGCACCGGCCGTTGGTCCCGCGACGGAGCACCAATGTCACAGGGTCCCCGCCGCGCCGCAATATCCTGTCTCTCAGATAGAGGGCGAGACAACATGTATATGGGCCGTCTTGATGGACATCGAGGCGACGAGGCACGGCGTCCCTAAATATATTCCCTAAAAATATTACAGTCATTATTCCTCGCATCCAGACGACAACTATCTTTTCTTCTTGTCTACGTGACCCTGGAAAGCATTTGCTGGTGGTTTCTCTTCATCGCGTTGTTTTCTGGCTAGATCTGACGGTGACAGCGACGCCTCGTAAAAAGATTCGACTTCGTCTGTTGCGGCTTAGCCGATATGGCCGCAATTTAGACCAGCACGGATGGCCAAATGACCTCTGTGGCCGGTGTCGTTTTGTGCGGAAGTCGGGATGAGGACACGTGCGGCGGTCGCGGTAGATCCGGTGACCCGGCGGTTCAGACCGGTTCCCATCGGTCTCCGAGGGTCCCCCGGCCCGGCGGCCGACCTTGCGGCCAATAATGGGACGCCACCCAGCATTGTACGGCCGCCGTTCGGGGCGTCACGTATTCGGACCAAATTTGATACTGCACGGTCAATCTGGCGCGTCGGCGACGTGCGACGAATCCGGGGAATTCGTCCAAGATTTATCAGACTGATTTACAACGCCGCGTGGTGCCACCAAGCGAGAAAATGATCGGCGGTTTTAGACGGGTGACACTGACGAAGAGCATTGGTCCTTCGTTCCTCGTTAGATTCTCAGTTGAGCAGTATGCTGAGATTAACAGACATGAGCTGCTGCCTTTTGCTTTTTGATGACTTCTGGTCTGTAAAGGGATGAAAATCCATTCATATGATAATCATTCATTTAACTGATTTTATCTTCAAATGTGTTGTGGCATGAAGAGTCAAAAAGGTACACTGAAAACCAAAACGATTCTCTATTCCCTTTGATCATGGTGTGTCATGCTCCTATAACTCTGCCGTTTTCCTGGCGGAATGCCCTTAAGATACTCAAATGATTCCTCAAATGATTCCTTTTAAGCATATCAGGGGTTTTGGTCTAAAACAACACCCTGATCATTTTCTTCGAACATACCCAAACTATACCCTCATTCTTTAAATACTTCCCTTGAATTCTTCTAACATACCCTAGTGTACATTCTCTGCCGCTACTGTCAGATACCGTACCTGTGCCGCTCGGCGCCTCCGGCGGTGACCGGTCGGCGCGGCGGGCCGGGACTGGCCGGCCGGGCGGGCGGGGAGGACGGGCAGTCGCTCCCTGGACGTGTTGCTGACCACTAATACAGCACCAAACGCGGTGCCGTCTTCGCTGAGTGCGTGTGGGCGGTGCGACGACATAACAGGCAGCTATAAGCTTGTTTTGACGCGCGGTATGGGCAGCTATAACCAGTCGCGGCGCAAGTGCGTTTGAGCCAGGTGATTCGCAACCACCACCCAATCAGCATACTGCAATCCAGTGCCGGCAGTGACGTACAGTGGGTCTATTTAAGATCTCCAGAGCCACCACGTGGCGCTACGGTCGGGGTAGGGCGAGTCCAACTCCCGAGGGGAGCGAGGTCACCGGTCATTGTGGGGGAAGGAGGGAGGGGGGGGGGTGACGCGCTGCTATCGCGGCGTGGAGCGTGCGTAGCGCCGGGAGTGGGCCGCCCGCCACTGCGCCGCGGCTGAGGGGAGGGGATGCTGGTTGCGGGTGCGCTCCCTCAGGTATGGTGGTATCCCTTCCCGGGTGGTGTTTCACCGGTGATATCTGCTGACGTCACACTTGTGGTAGTGTTGGAGCAATGGGCCTGTTGACGTCTCCATGGAAACCCAATTTGACACGTAGTAATAGCAGCGTCCTGCGATCGCAGGTGAATGCGACTGAAGGGAATAGCTAT